AAACAAGCAAACAAAGTTACGAAAGAGCCGCTTGTTCATACTCAAGGTAACCTAAGAATAGCTTATAGCTGACTCTGCACAATAAACTGGAATATGAGAAAGAATCTCTAAAATAACATCTGTTGTCAACAAGGGATGAGAGTTTTTCCAGCATCAGAGGTTTATCAGACCACAACACTGTTTCGTTCTCTATCTGAGCACAAACCCAGCAGACACGTCTTAAAGCAGAGTGTGTGTGAGACTTCAGCACTGCTATTATGAAAACAGACAAGCAGAGACGAAGATACAAACTCTAACATATTGCAGTGGGTCTGCACTTACTTGATTAATACTTAACTTGACTTAGCAAAAACTGTCGAATCTTCGTAAGAAGCCTCTTATTTCCATAGATCATCACTCTGAGCACTCAGACAATTGGTGGCTGACTAAATACTTTTTTCCCCCACTGTATATCTTCTAGAAAGCACCATGTCGCCTCCTCAAATGACCATTTGTGCGCTGCTTTTTTAGCACGCTCTGCCAAAATACATTTCAGCATCAGCCGCTGATTTTAGGGATGTGCAAAACTACGTTCAAAATTGCAAGTTTTTAAAAGTTGAACTGTTTAACTTTAATGTCCTATATTTACACATGCACTGGCTAAAGATGTCAATCTGAATGTATATAATATTTTTTGTCTAAAACGAGTTCAAATTTAAAGTGAAAGTTCACCGGTAGCCATTGACTTCCATATTATTGCTTCCATACTATGGAAGTCAATGGCTACCAGCAACTGTTTGTTTACCAACGTTCTTCAAAATGTCTTCTTTCGTGCTCAACCAGAAGAAAGAAACTCATACAGGTTTGAGACAACACGAGGGTGAGTAAATGATGACAGAATTTTCATTTTTGAGTGAACTATCCCTTTAAGATGGGTGTTTCAGTGTATGTTTTAAATCCAAATGCTATAAATTCAAGCTTGATTTGAACTTGAAGTAAGATCAACTTTAGAAACTAGACTAGAAAGCTCTTCTAAAATATGTTTCTTGGATGTTAAGAATGTATGAAACTTAATTGCACATTTGTGCACTGCAGGTGAACTGCACAGACTACTAATTAATAGCACAGCGATCAGATTAAGCCACAGTATCCAAACCAGATCAGAGAGATTGACATCTGACCGACTGACTGTGAGATCTCCAGTGGCACAGGCCTTACAAAACTGTGTCAGTCAAACAAGATCATGTCAGGTGCTGATACAGTCGTAGACAGAGATTAAGTTCATTTAAAGGAACTTTAAATACAGTCTCTCCAACGGAATAAAACATTATGTTTTCACAACATCAATGATTTCTCATGCATTTTATTGAGAGATGTGGTCTTAGGATGAGGGTTCAATTTTAGGTTAGTTGCATGTAATTAGGCATAATTTATTGTTATTACTATAGTAAGTGCATGTAACAAGGACACAGTAAAATAAAGTGTTACCAAAATGTCTAACTTAAAGCATAAACAATAGTAATAATGATATTAGCACCATTAAGAGAGAAATCATGGTAACACTTTATTTTACAGTCATGTTCCACATGTACATACTATGTACTTATTATTGTAATTGCAATTACTGGGCAATAACGAGCTACTAACCCTGAACCTAACCTTAACCCATGTAGTTAAATTATCCAGTACTTTCTTAGATAAGTAGGCCTACACTGTAATTACATGTAAGTGCACATACTGTAAAATAAACTGAAATCACATACTAATACAACAGCTGTTGTATTCCTCACTTGTAAGTTGCTTTGGATAAAGGTGTCTGCTAATAAATGAATGTAAATAATATAGCAGTTACTCATGTGGACTATTTGGAAAATCTCACTTAAGTTTGAAATGTGTCCAAAATGCACAAAAAGCTTTCAAAAACGTACTGTTTTCACATTATGCACCTGCTCAGTAGTTACTTTGCTGTGTTTGAGTCTGGCAGTAAACGCACTGATTTTTAAACTATCAATGTCCTGTTATACTTTCAACACAAGAACAGTGTGAACAGATCGTTTGGGGTGGAAAGATTTTGTAATGATTACAAAAAAAGTCTCTTATGCTCACCATTTGATCAAAAATACAGTAATATTGTGAAATATTATTACAACTTAAAACAACTGTTTTCCATTTGAATTTATGTTCAAATGTAATTTATTGCTGTGATCAAAGCTGAGTTTTCAGCATCATTCCTCCAGTCTCCAGTGTCACATGATCCTTCAGAATATGCTGCTCAAGAAATATTTCTGATTATTATCAATGTTAAAAACACGTTGTGCTGCTTAATATTTGTGTGGAAACCATTATCCTCTTTTTCAGGATCCTTTGATGAATTAAGTTCAAAAGAACTGCATTTATTTAAAATAAAAACCTTTTGTAACTTTAAAAATGTATTTACTGTCACTTTTATTCAATGTAATGCATCCTTGCTGAATAGAATTTCTAAAAAAAAACAGTGACACAGTACTGTCACAATGAACAAATAACTAAACTGAATTTCAAGTTACCATTTCAGCAATAACCCAGACATGCTGGCATAATGCAGAATGTTGAGCAATCAGTGATATGGCTTATCAGAAACATGAACTTTGAATAACCAGTCCGATCTGCCAAAACAAAAGCATGATAAACACAGTTTTGAGACATCAAATCACAGCAGTATCCCAACAGTACACTTTAGACGTGTGACAGTCAAGACTGCAGCATGCACATCCACTGAATATCAAGTGATAATGCAAGATTTGTTAGTTCATAAGAGAATAGTCTCAGTTCTCTATCAACAAACAGGCACGTGGCAGAGGTGTAGCGCAGCTGAAGCTCACGCTGTTTGGCAGTGATGCTGGTCAGGTGGCCTACAAACAGACTGGCACAGCACTGGAGGTTCACTGGGTTCAGTCCAGCCTCGGAACGTAGAGCCAACTGGGCCACTCCAGTAAATAATATGCCTGCTCGCTCTAAACACAGAGCCCACTGCATCTGAGAGCAAATATTAACGGCAAGAAGCAGAATCAGAGCACAAGACTGCTAGATAAACAGATGCTTAATTATGCGATAGTTGAAATAAATATTTAAAAATCTTTCCAGTGCCTTGAGCAATAAAACCATCAATTCTCAGCATTCAGTTTGTCTCTAGTATGTAAACAAAAGCTAAATCTAGTGTGTAGCACTGATTATATATAGAAACACCAGATGACTGTAACACAGTGGACTCCAGGTTACGAGTAGTTCATGATCACGTGACTCTTTGAACAGACGCTCAGATGTTCTTGATTCCTTTGAAGCACAAGGTGATCTTTTGAATCTTTTTCAAATCGTGCTGGAAAACATGATTAGCAGGTTTCATACAAACTTGCGGAGCTCATGCAGATCAAATGCTGCATTAAAACAAAACAGGGATATTTTCCAATGCATGCTTATTTTTTCACGCTGCTAATATAGTATGTACTGGAATTTGTGTTAAGCTACAAAAACAGGTTACACTTTATTTCGATAGTCCACTTTAGTCATTCTACTAACTATAAGTAACTACATGTCAACTACATGTCAACTAATTCTCATTCATTTGCAACTACACGTCTACTAACTCTCAGAGTAGACTGTTAGGGTAGGTTTAGGGTTAGTAGAATAAGTTGACAAAGAAAGTGTTAGAAGATATTAAGCAGACAGTCTACTAATACTCTACTAACTGCTAGTTGACATGTAGTTGTAATGTTATTTACTGTTAATAGAATGTCTAAAGTGGACTCGAAATAAAGTGTTACCCAAAAACAATAGCATTTTGACTCAACAAGTGCAAATAAATTTGACTTTTTGACCAATATAGTCAAAAACACAATTACTTACATTTGATTAGTAACCTAGAAATATGTTTCATGCCATAAAAAAAATGTGTGTATATATATATTAAATAGTGCAGAACAGTGCAGAATCTTAATTTCACACCATAAAAAAGTATATTCCATTTTTCAAATGTATATATTAAATTACATATTTATATGATATAAATATAATTTGTAATAAAATTTGGGTAGCACTTTATTTTACAGTCCTCTTCCGCATGTACATACTATGTACTTGTTATATTAATTACAATAACTGGTTAATAACTAGGTACTAACCCTGAACCTAATCCTAAACCTAACCCTAACCCATGTAGTTACCTTATATTATCCAATACTTTCTTAGTTAAGTACAGGTAAGTGACCGTACTGTACAATAAAGTGCAACCATAATTTCTATTAAACTACTATATATATAGATAGATATAGTAATTACACAAGATTTACAGTTCCAGTGTTGTTTCAGACAGAATTGGAGGAAGTATAGCATGTCACTCTGCAGGACACTGCTTGCACTGCTTGATATCATGTCAGCTATCTCTGTACACACAAGAAAAACAGTTGCACCGTTGCAATTAACAATGCATGTCAAGCAAACACGAGCACACACACACACACACACAGAAAGGCTGAGCTTTCCGTCAGCAGCACACACGGCGCTCATACGTGCATGGAGTCAGAGAAAACACAGCCGCACCGCGAGCACTGGACAGCGCCGTGGTGCTGAAAACACCGCGCCACGGCAACCGCGCAGATGCGTCGCGTTCATGTTTAACGTCTGACCTATCCGACACAGCACGCATTAAAACGTGTAGTAATATCTGATGGGATTTTTTTAGCGAAGATGGCGCCCACAGCTAACCCAACCCACCAGAGCCGCACAGAATGAGCACAAGTGAGGCGAAATACTGCATCCACACGCGGCACGAGCGACGCAAAGCCGCCAGGCGCGTGACATTGACCCCTCTGACGGTTAACCCGAGCGTTTAGTCCGAGCTCGTGTCAACAACAGCCTAGTATTGACAGCCTACGTAAGCAGACGTATCACATTTCAGGAGACAGTCGTGCTGAACATGACTGGGAGCCCGCAAAGAGCCCTCCTCGGCCCCTATTAAAAGTGCTGAACACAACCAGCTGGCTTACTTCAGCGTGGACTGCTCTTTCTCCTCCTCTTTCTTCTGTCGCTCCATGACCGAGAGGATGATCTTCCTCTCCTCCTCGGTGAGGTGGCTCAGGTCCGGCGGAGCGGGAGCCGCAGGGGACGCGGCCGGGGCCCCCCGAGCTGACATTTCTCAGGTGTAGATGCTGCTGAAAGAGCGATAAATGAACATTAAGTACATCTGCAGAGACCCCATGCAGCCTACACATGTGCTCTTGCTATATAATGTCTGTGTTTATGGGATGCATAACTGTATTGCTCTCATCTAAATGGCACTGTGATGCTGAAGAGAGCAGACAACTGATGGTTTTATAATAACACATTAGCGCATCTCTAACACCTTCACACCCTGCCGGTGTATGTGCATGGAGGATTCAGTGGTACGTTATTAGCTACAATCAATACAACCCAGTGACAGCATGGGGAACGCGTGTGCAAATGTAGTTTGTCACGCTGGCTCATAAAAACAAGCATCTTCTGAGAATAAGGTGTGAGAAAGCCCTCTGGCTTCTCGCGTTTCCGGGAGCCGAGGGCATCCCAAGCATGCCTGTCGAATGCGTGTGGCGATCAAACGGGCGCTTGCCTTTTATTTCGAAATCATGGTGAATGCAGTCTAACCCATGGCTGCTGCCGCTTACGGAGAGCTCTCGCGCATCGTCCAATGGTAGGGCGCGCGATCCCTTATCGCGGTAATCGCCTCCCCGCGATTCCCTCCTGGTTGCCGCCGCTGCTGCTGCTAACTCCAAGAGATTTCTTCAATGCACAAAAAATGGATGCGGTAGGGGAAACGGTCCGATAGGAGAGCGAGGCGGAGCGACGGTCTTACGTAGGACAAAGATCAGATGGTCCGGGTGAGCGACTGCGCGGGCGGGGGCGGCGGAAGTGCCATTCATTGACTCGAGCTGGAGCTGCGATGAACGCTATGGTGACAATCCAGCAACCAGATTTTTTTTTCTGGCTTATATTTTTTTTAATGGTTTATGTCACAGAGTGTTGTGAATTAAATCTCTGTCTATTAGTTTAAATTCTTTTTTTCACCCTCCTCAGACCTCTTTAAGAAGTCTGTTACCTAACTTAATGCCATTGCCATCAAATCATCCACGTTATGGAGGACGAAACCTGCAAAAACAGTAAATAAATAAATACGCAAATAAATAAATAAATGTCTGCATAAATACACAAATTCTTGTTTAAATACATATAGAAATCATTAAACATGTGATTAAAGTAGGCAAATAAATCAAATAAATTGGTGGACAAATGGAAAATGTTTAAGGAAATGCTAAACTCGCCCTATTTATTTTCCTTTGATCACTAAACATTTAATTTATAATCTGCCACTCATTAATACTTAGTTTTGGGTTATGCCTTTTAGTGTCATAATGCTCTTCCAAGAACACATAATATGGAGGACGAAACCTGCAAAAACAATAAATAAATGTGTGCATAAATACACGTATTCTTGTTTAAATACATAAATAATTATACATGTGATGAAAGTAGGCAAATAAAGAATATAAATTGGTGGGCAAATGGAAAATGTTTAACTATTGTCCTTTGATCACTCATTTATTTCTGAATGTAGTTCCACATTTATTTTTCCTCTAATGAGAGGGTGTCAACCATGGATTTGGTCGGGGTCATGTGATAGCTGGGGGCGTGGCTTTCCCGCTGACAGCAGATGCATGGTGTAAATCCAGTATGGCCTACGTAAAGTCACTTTTTCCGTTTAACAGAGCAAGATACATAAAAAACTGAGCTGTATTGTCCGTACAGTATATGTGACTTTACAAACGACCCAAAGAAATGGCCAGTGTCGTTTCCTGACGTCTTTTTTTGTAACCCGATTGAGTCTCCAGCTAGAGGCAACTGTAATATCAGTACCCCACGGTCATCGTGAGATGACTGGTATGAAGTGGTTTAATCGAGGAACAGACCGTTTTTTCCCATTAGTTATCAGAACGGATAATACAGGTGACAAAAGTATGTTAATTAAGCAAATAACGGTTCAGTATGGCAATTAAGAGCTATGTAAGCATTAATATTTTACACTGGCCACTTAAAATCTTTTATGATTTAGCTCTCTCATGATTATAACTACAAAACTAACCCTATGAAAAAGTGTAAGATAATAACCAGTCATCTTGACTGATGAAGTTAATACGCATGCACAGGCAAACGCTCACGCGCGTCACACACGA